TAGGGTTCTCGACCAGGTCTGGACAGTGCTACCAGAACTCAACCAATAAACCAATGGACCCTGTCCATGTGGAATGAGCTGTGTGGGATGAGCAGATAACACGACGCACACAAGAAGCATGGGAACATACAAGTATTAGTGCATGGAGGTGAAGGCGAGAATTGGCCATGAAGAGTTGATTCCCCTTTTATCCACAGATCTGCTCTGTACAGGCCAGCGTTGAAGAATATGAAGGCTTTTGGGGGATGGTTGCACAACTATGGCCTATGTTGCACCTGCTCTGAGGCTGGCAGAAGTGGAGGAATTCTAACTCCAGGCCCATTAGAGCAGCAACTTTCCTTAGCCAGGAATTATAATGAGTCAGTAAATGAACTGTAATAATGTAAATTTCTCTCTCTCCAGGTTTGAGAAGGGGAAGTTCCAGCAGCCAGCGGAGATTTCTTGTGAGCTAGAAAAGAGACTCAGTGATTACTCCCAGAAAACTATTGTTCTAATGGAGACTCTTAGGAAGTTCAAAGATACCGAGATGGGCTCTTGGAGAGGAAATCGGGGTGTGTTTCTGAGACCGTGGGAGGAGACGTGCTCTGGCCAGTTGATCTGTAATTAGGTTATGTATCTATGTAATGAAAAGTGGAAAGCAACAAATTGAGCAGATGTAGCAGGGGCCCAGGTGCCAGGATATCTCACACTCATGCACTCTGTGAGCTTTGGTAAAATCATTAAGGTAAAAATATAGCAAAATGTGGGTACCTCGGTTCCTCTCTCCCAACTACCGAACTGCAGGGCATGTGCTCCAGAGCTGTTTGGCATCCACAGCTGCAGCTGGTGTCAGTGGGAGCTGCTGGTGCCCAGTGCCAAGGAGATCCAGGTTCAAGTGCCTAAAGGTCAGCACCTAAAATTTAATCTCTAAATTAAGGGACAACTTTGAAATGTGGACCCAGTCCATCCTTGTGCTCTGGCTCTGAATGCCAGCTCGTGTGGACCAAAGGGGTTGTAGGGAAGGTGTAAACCCAGCATAGGAGCCTCTTGTGCCACCTCCACAGCAGCTGCAGGCACAAGGAGTGTTCATGGGTGGGGGGGGGAAAGGAGTGCAGTTGTCAGGGGCAGGGTAGAGGAGGCAGGGACGGAGCAGGAATAAAGGGGTGTGGCCAGGGTAAAACTGTGTCTCGGACACACTGCCCCCTAGCAAAGCCATGTAGGGGCTGCTGAACCAGGGATGCAACTCTGGCTGGGCCTCACGACTTCTCAAGCCTGTGCCAAGCTCTGCACCAGCCCCAGCAGCCACTGAATAGGGGAATCACAAGGTGCAGCACCCCACCCCACAACCCTTTACCAGTGCAAAGGTGAAAAAGGCCCATTGAGCCAATCCTCTCCCTGCCTCAGTTTCCACATCTATAAAATAATTGTATTATTATTTGTATTTCAGTCTATGAAGGATGAGAGCACTACTGTGCTGAGCTCTGCACAGATGCTGAGTAAATTGACGCAAAGAGCTTACAGTCCAGGGCCCTAAACCTGCAAATTCTCAGTTTCCCATTGATCTCAAAGGGACCAAAGTGTGTAAGGTTCCATTCATGCTAAAATCTTTGCAGGATCTGGGCCTAGGTTATGACAAAATGCAAAAGGAGAATGAGACAAACCGAGTGGGGTCTGGAGGATGAGGGAACAGGAAATCCGTTTTCCACATAATATCTCTTCTGAGGGTTAATGGATATTGGTTCTATTGATTTGAGATGCCTGAATAAAAGAGAAAATAGAAGGTTTCAGATTAGCTATTATTTAAAATCTGAGTGTGATTCTGTCACTCTCGCACAGTTTCTCTCGCATAATTAAAACACAGTTATGTCAAGTAAGAGTGGGAATGTTGTTATAAATATGACAGCCTGAAATTTCATGTCTTTTTTCTTTTCCCCCTTCAGATAGTCTGGGCTCTGAACTAAAGATAAAAGGAGGAGAATCTCTAGTATCATACAGACAGGGTGAGGTTTCAGGAGGAGAAATTAAGAGAAATTCCCATGAAAACATTTTGATGAACATGTAGCGAAAGATACAAACCAAACAAACACCAACCATGACACACATCCTTAAAAAATAAAACACAAACATGAAATACTGAGGAGATCCCAAGCTGAAGTCACACAAATAATCCTGACACCAAGCTTCGTGATGAGTCTATGCACCCACCGATAAGCAGAAACACTCGCACTGAGCAACATACAAACATCCTTACGCTGACCCTGGCATTTCCATGCACATCCATGTGCCTTTGAAATATTCAATTCAGAGGGTTGCCACATCCTTCTGCTTTCCCCCATGTGAGGGGCGCTCTCTCATTGCTCTTTACCAGCATTCTACCTTTCTCTTCAACCGGGTTGGGCTGGTCTTTCCTATTTGAGCTGGTTCCTTCTTCCTCTGTTAGAGGTAAGGTTCCCCCTCTGATGCTGCCACTTCCTCTCTTCTCCATGGGCTGGAGAAGGGGCTACTCCTCCCAGTGCCACCTCCTATTTACTACTCTCTGGTCTTGAGTGATTCTTCCCCAGTGCCCCACCCTCTTCTCTTCTCCCAGGTCAGGAAGAGAAGGGTGGGCTCAGTGTACAGCTTCCCCCTGGGTTTATATCTGTTGCCTCCTGACTCTCACTCCCCTCTCTGCAACTTCAGGCTCTGACCTTCCTCTCTAACCCTCAGAGAAGCAGCTCCAGCAGGGAATGTCACTGGGAAAGGGGGAGAGAGGCAGTTTCTGCAGCCCCACAGCAGCTCACAGCAGCCAGGGGGAGGAACTACCAGGGCATCTCTGCTCGGTCTCAGGGACTCAGGAGAGAGAAGCAGCTCCCCAAGCTGGTGGTGTCAATCAGAGACCATGTGCTCTAATCTCTGTGACCCTTTTCCCCTCCAGACTCTTTGCCATCTGAGCTAGAGCAGGGAAGGGGGGGATCTCTGGGATCACACACCCAGGGTGAGCTCTGGGGGAGATTTTCCTTCAATTAACAGAACATTCCCATGAAAGCAACTCTCCCCCACACCAGTAACCAGACACACTCTCACTGACCAGCCCCCGAGCCACCTTAATTGTGACCTGGTCATTTGTATTGTCATTGCCATGTCTTTCCAATAGTGAATTCAGGGCAGTCAGTAGAGAGATCTCTCTCCTCGTGGATGTCACATCCTTCCCTTTTCACCTGGGGGAGAGACTCTCTCCCATGGCTCTTCTCCAACATCGTACCTTTTCTTGGGGCATGGCTGGGCTCTCCCATTCGAGCTGCTCTGAGGGTTGGGGAGATGGTGTCTCTCTAGTGCTGCCACCCAGGGCCGGCTCCAGGCACCAGCCTACCAAGCATGTGCTTGGGGCGGCACCTGGAGGGGGGCGGCGCTCCGGCCGACCAGGGAAAGCGGGGCCGTGGCCGGGCTCTCCGCCCTCCTCCCGGCGCTCCGGCTGGTCGGGGAGAGCGGGGCCCCGGCCGGGCTCGCCGCCCTCCTCCCGGCGCTCCGGCCGGTCGGGGAGAGTGGGGTCCCGGCCGGGTTCACCACCCTCCTCCCAGCGCTCCGGCCGCCGGGGAGAGCGGAGCCGCGCCGGGCTCGCCGCCTTCCCCGCAGCGCTCCGGCCGGCCAGGGATAGCGGGGCCGCGGCCGGGCTCGGCGCCCTCCCCTGCCACGCTCCCCGCCGGGGGGCGGGGGGAGGCTTTTTTGCCTGGGGTGGCAAAAAAGCCAGAGCCGGCCCTGCTGCCACCTGCAGTCCTTTCTTCTCTCGGGACTGGGGAAGGGGCTGTCCCACCCAATGTCACCTCCTGCTCACTGGCCTTGAACCATTGGCTCTTCCCCAGTGCTGCACCTTCATCTCTGCTCTCTGGCCTGGGAGTGGAGGATGCATTTAGGGGAGGGACCTTTTTGGGGTTCAAATCTGGTACCTGCCTCCTCAAGACCCTCCTAATTAAGTTTTTGCTGTCTTTCTTGCTGAGTCTCTGCTTCTGGGAATGAAGCTGCCCCAGGTGGGGATCAGGGAGTTGCCACCTCTATAGCCAAATGAGAAACTACTAAAATGGCTCCCATTACCCAGGCTGAGGAACTGCAGTTGTAACCTCTGGGTGGGCTAGAGTTCACTTCATTTCTCTTCTCCAATGCCTAAAAAACCCCAACTCCCATAGAAAAGCAACTGGAGACCCAGAATTCAATCTCTAAGGATTTTCAGCAAGAATGGCCCAGGATCAACCTCCCCACATTCAAGTCCCAAAATAAATGAAAGGAATGAACTTAATTAAGTAAGAATTTTATAAAATCTTATGATAAAGAAACATAATAAATAATAACTTAATTTTTACAACATAACATGGCTATTTTATAATCCAGAGTCATTATCTTCACAGTTATACATAAACATTAATAAAGAAAACAAATTAAATCAAAACAGGTCAGTCCCTACCGAAACACAATGAGAGGAAACTCAGAGTTCCCAAAAGCTTAGGTTGATTTCACCAAATCTATACCTCCGATCACCAAAGCTATACACTAGGCTGAGTCATAAGCAACATCTTCTTGCCACTTGCTTGTAGGACTCTTCAGTTGGAATCCATGCAGACTCTTCCTCTGCTGAAATCACTGCTAGTCAGTCAGCTAACCGATTAACCAACTACACAGTTAAGTATATAATTAAAAAAAACCTGTTACAAGAAAATACAAAACTTAGAATAGCAAAATATAAATGACTCTTTCCCCATTACTACATTTAAGAAAAGTTGATGAATCATACTAGTTGAGACAATTTAACTAAAATGGTTGAGCTAAAATCAAACAGCATTCAATGTATACAATTAAAATATAGGAAATTATTTTTCCCTCCCAATCTCCCCTTTCTATCATTAACATTGCCCATGCTTCCCTGATGGAGGGTTAACAATATCACTAGCCTGCTGCAAAATGCTTTAGAGTTAGGGAAAACAGCCTGCTTTCTGCTTCTGGTTCAGCTTCTCACACAGAGCACATGGCCTTTTGCAAAGCAGCTTGCCCACATGCCTTCTGACCCCAGTAAAGGGGAACCTATTGGAGCATATCCAAAACTACCACACCCAATTCCAGAAACTTCTGGATGTGGAGTGCTAAATCTGCCTAGCAACAATGATCCAGACACAACTCCTCCCTCCCTCCCTCCCTGAATAGGATCCAGGACTGTCCCAGCCAGAACTGTGCTTTATAGGCATGTCAGAAATGGTTGCAGCCTCTCCCAGGGTTGAGCTCTGCCTCTAACTCTCTGATTCTCTCTCTCCTCAGTGAATGTGATTCTGGATCCAGACACAGCTCATCCCCAACTCATCGTGTCTCAGGATATGAAAACAGTGAGATGGACAGACACACGGCAGTATCTGCCTGACAATCCTGAGAGGTTTGACACTTGGGGCTGTGGGCTGGGCTATGAGGGATTCACTTCGGGGAGTCATTGCTGGGAGGTTGTGATGGGAAATGAGGAACGCTGGGCTGTGGGAGTGGCCAGAGAGTCTGTGAGAAGGAAGGGACGGATCAGCCTTAATCCTGAGGAGGGAATCTGGGCTGTGGAGCGGTGCTGGTGGGGTCAGTGCCAGGCTCTCACCTCCCCTATGACCCCCCTGCCCCTGCCCCGGGTTCCCAGGAGGATCCTGGTGTGTCTGGACTATGAACGGGGGCAGGTGACATTTTTTGATTATGGTAACAAGGCCCTGATCTTCACTTTCCCGCCAGCCTCTTTCACTGGGGAGAGAATCCACCCCTGGTTCTGGCTGTGGGATAGAGAGACCCAGCTCAGACTTTGCCCCTGAGACAAGGTAGGGGGAGGAATATCCCACGGTGGGGCTTGAGATCAGCCTCTCTAGCCTCATACATCCTTTTCAACATGACCCTGGAAGTCTCCTGTGTTCCTGTAGACTTTCTACCCTGTGGTTTCTATTGTCCTGGAGGCTCTGCGGGGTCTCTGACCTGTCAGACCATAGAAACCAGGGGGTGGATGAGATAGAGAAGCCAGTCTTATTGCCCAAAGGATTTTGCAGCCTGTTTGTCACTGTCCTCTGTGGCGCAGGAGGTCAGACAGTGCCACTCAGATGTTGTGGGAATAGCCCAATGGGAATGGAAAAAATGGACTTCTCTAGCCTAAGTCATCCAAGTGTCTGTGACTATGGAGGACTCCCATCTACCTAGTCCCTGGCTTGTGTCTATGACCCTGGAGGACCCCTGTGTACCCAACCATCAATACCTCATCTCTGTGACACTCCTGTCCCTTCCTGCAGCACCAGGGATGGGAAGGGGAAGAGGCAAAGAACCCCTGGAGTGGCACAAGGAGCAGAGGGGCCCTGAGGGGCAGACCTGGGGGCTGCAGGGTCAGAACTGATGGGGTGGCAAGGGCAGGAGTGACATAGGGGCTGTGGCTCTAATTACTAGCTGGGCTGGGAGGCAGGCAGATGTGGGGTGGCAGGGACACAGAATTAATTAATTGGGATTTGGGAGGTTTCAGGAGAAACTGGAGGCTCTGCACCAGCAGAGCAGCTGGCAGATGGAGACCCAGGGACTGTCAAGTGTGACCTCCAGACCACAAGGGAAGGGACGCTATGGTGGGAAGGAGTTGCTGGCAAGTGAGGGGAGGGGGATGTCATGTGAATGAAGGTGAGCTGGCTGTGGAGAGGGGAGATGCAGGTACAGAGCTGGTTTGACCAGAAGGGAGAGAAGAAATAAAAGGAAATAGAAAACAGGAAAAATGAAGTAAAACAAGAGTAAATAGAGAAGCCTGGGGAAAGAGGTACAGTGGTGGGGAACTGAAAAGAGTGAAAACAAAGCAATCCTGGGAAGGGGAGAGCTCAGGGGGAAGTGGGCGGAGAAGGGATAAACTCAGGGGAGAGAACTGGGAACCTGAGTTGTAATGATCTGTGATAGGGAATAAAGGAGATTTAGGGGGAAGACAGAGAAATAAATGGAAGGAAAACATGTGTTAGAGACAATGATGTGCAAAACTGGCTGAAATGAAATACAAGGGAGAAGGAAAGAGAATGTGAGAGCAAGAGGAATCTCAGTTCCTCCTGACATACACACTGGATCCCTGGCAAGGATTTTGCTAAAATGGGGATAAAAGGCCCTGCTGAACTAAAGGGCTAATTCCATGTCCAATATCTGTGTGTGCATAACTCTTCAAAGATCAATAGTCATTCACATGTCAGGAATGCACACACTGAGTTACACTGCGATCTCTGACTGCTGGATTCCAGTGTCCACAATTCAGGAGCTGTCCTCTCCCTGTGTTGAGATCTGAAATGTTTCTAACACGGTCTCATCTGCAGGAATTTACTCAGTGGCTTCTGATACTTCCCCTCTAGCTCATTGATCAGCTCCATAAGACAGGAAGTCTCCTCAGAGAGTTTAGTGATTTATTTTCATTTGGGATCTTCAAAATCTGTTTGTCCAGCTTGGCCAGGCAGGAGTCGCTTTTGTACCTCAAGACACAATCTTCCATCTTGTAGCCAATTCGTTCATTTTATCATTCATTTATTCTGTGACGTTACGATTAACTAACATGTTATGTCATATATAATCATTGTATGCTGAATAGATTTAAATTGGAGGATTATAGAAGTTTAAGATTGATCAGTAGTTAGAAGGAATAATTATGTATTAGGTATCTAAGTAAAAAGGGCTAAAATGCAAAGCCTACAGGCTGAGGCCTGTAAGATGTCAGCTTACCATACTAGGCCACAGGCTTAAGAAATGCGTGACATACGTAAGTGACCAAAGAATGACCCGATGCCACAAGATTATAGGGAAAATATGTACCAATGGGTGATATTGCAAAAAATTAAAAGTAAGAGTAATTGTTTGCTTAGAAGATACCTGGTAGTCTTTCTAACACATGCCATAACCGCAGGGTGAAATATGTGCATAAATGCTATTGCGGTATCGTCAGAATTACAAATAAAAGAAGGGTGCCCAGATTGGGAAAACTGAACTCCCTATGGGAAAACTTCAGCAGGAACCATCCCTCTACTGATGATCAATTGGCAAGGTATCCATCAGACCTTAAGAATATCATTAAGGATGTGAGTATGACAAAATTTGTAATTCGTGCATAGGTCTTTATAGGACTTCTTGGGTAATCGTAACCTTAACTGTAACTTTATTAAAACTTATAAAACAGACTAAACCTTGTACTTGTGAATATATGTGTGGTCACTACCCTTGGTCTTTATGTGTTCCTAAAGACCCTAAATCTGAAGTTATTAACAGAGGTGACTTTCATTCTGCTGAGCTTGAAACTGTAGCCACCAGAGCCAAACCCACGGTGGTGTAATACCACATTACAAAATTCACTTTAAATAAAATAAAAGGCTACAACCTCTTGCTTTGTGTCTGTTTCAATAAAAAAAAATTGGGAAAGGGCTGGTCAGGGATGTGGAAGGGGCTGGAGTCTTTCCTGGAGCGCTGAGTATGCAGGAGGAGATTTCTTTGAAAACCCTATTGTGACATTATACTTCATATTCTTTATGAAAATATGCTTATGATATGAATATGACATAATTAAGAGATGCTTTATGCAAGATAACTCTTGTAAGGTATCATTGGAAAGGTTAAAATGTACTGGATGTGATTATCCAATTGATATGCCTGTATCATTTCTGTTTCTGAAGTTAGGAAAATTGACTATGTATCTACATTCCAACTATGTTACTTTGGATGACGCTCCCTTCTAACACTTCAGGTACAACAATGGAAAAGCCAGACAGCGCTGATGGCCCATCAGCGCTGACAATGGACTGTGAAAAGGCTTGGCCTTCCTGCAGATGCTCCATACTGCTACTGACTCATGGACTCTGGGATACTACAGAGTGAGGTGGTCTTGTCACCTGATACTGAACATTACCTGGGACTTCTTGTAAATTTCCACCAGAAGGGAAGGGGGGTCACGTTTGGGAGACAAGGGTTCTTGCCTTATGTAAATCCTATTTAAGGGTGGGGAGGAAGGCAAACTGGGCTCCTCCCCTCCATGGGTGCCGGCTCAAGAAGAAAGACTGCTAAAGCCACCTGAAGGGAAGGCAGGGGGAGAGTCCAGACTGAGACAGGGATCTAATCTGAAAAGGAATATAACTGGAACTCTGAACCACTGAAACTTTGCAACCTGCCTAAAATAACATTTAGGGTGAGAATTTACATTTTGTAACCTGTTTCTTAAGTATATTGAGCGTAGTTTGCGTGCTCTGTTTTATTTCCTTAGTAATCTGCTTTCTTATGTTTGCTACCTACTTAGCTACTTAAAATACACCTGTTATAGTTAATAAACTTATTTCTGGTTTATACTATAACCCAGTTTATGTGATTTCTAACTGGGGATGGGTGGGGGGGAAGTGTGAAGTTGTGCATACTCTCCTCCATATTGAGGGAAGAAATGAATTTCATATAATTTTGGGTGTGTGTACCGCAAGGGAGGTGGACATCTGGGTGCCATGGCAAGCCCCTAAGGCTGAATCTTTCCAGAGCAGATCTCTGACTCTCTGTGTAGCTGGGTGTGGCCCTGCCTGTGTGCTTGGCTGGAAGAGGCTGGTGAGCCAAACCCAGCAAGACCAGGTAAAAGAGGGCCCAGGCTGGCAGAATAAGCTGACTCAGTGGTATCTCAGCACACCAGGTGACATCCCGGGGGTCCAACCCATCACAATGGCATAGTTGAGCAGGATAGTATGCTGCCATTATTGCCCTGAAACACAGGGTGGTGATTGTAAGAGAGTTTTAAGTGTGGTTGCTAGGGAACAGACAAAGTGGTTACTGGTTTGTTATTTTCTGTTTGCTTATTTCGGGCAAGAGAAGTAGGAACAGAAAAGTAGGAAAACGAGTGAAAGTGAAGCTACCAGGAAGTTGGAGCTCTACAGGTTGCAGGTAGAGGAAAATGAAAAAATACACCAGAAACAGATAGAATTAAAACAGATGGAAATTGATGAGCAGAAGTCTGCATGTCAGAGGGCTCTGGAACTGAGGCACCTAGAGGCTGACAAAGAAATGGAAGTGGAAGCAGCCAGACAGAAGCAACCTCTGGAATTGAAAGACAAAAAACTGGAGGAAAAAGAAAAGGAGAGGAAACATGAACTGGCTGTAATGGAGTGGAGGAGACAGAGCCCCCCCACCAGGGGCCCCACCTCTCCAAAAATCCACAAGTGAGAGTGGTTGTGTCCACCATATAGCGAGTCTGGTGATATTGCCAAATATTTCATCAGCTTTGAGAGACTGTGTATGCTCCATGCAATTCCTGAGGACCAGAAGATGACCACTTTGGTTCTAGTATCAGAGGGGTAGCTGTGTTAGTCTGGATCTGTAAAAAGTGACAAAGAGTCCTGTGGCACCTTATAGACTAACAGACGTTTTGGAGCATAAGCTTTCGTGGGTGAATACTCACTTCATCAGATGCATGTAGTGGAAATTTTGAGAGGCAGGTGTAAATATGCAGGCAAGAATCAGTCTAGATGTGTTAGTTTATAAGGTGCCACAGGACTCTTTGTCACTTTGGTTCTAAAATTGACTTGGAGAGCTCTGGACATATTCAATAAGATGTCTATTGGTGATGCTTCAGACTATGGTAAATTTAAGAAATTAAGTATCAAAGGGGTAGCCGTGTTAGTCTGGATCTGTAAAAGCAGCAAAGAGTTCTATGGCACCTTATAGACTAACAGACGTATTGGATCATGAGCTTTCGTGGGTGAATACCCACTTCTTCGGATGCACGTAGTGAAAATTTCCAGGGGCAGGTATAAATATGCAAGCAAGAGTGAGTAAGGCTAGAGATAACGAAGTTAGTTCAATCAGGGAGGATGAGGCCCTCTTCTAGCAGTTGAGGTGCTTAAGAGAGGGGCTGGGTTAAGTAATGTGGCTTATGTGAACCAAATGAAAGATTTACTGGAGAAGTGGGTGAGGGGAAAACGTATTACAAGCTTTGAAGGAATGTGTGATTTGGTTACTCAGGAACAATTCCTGAATGTCTAGTGATGATGTGAAACAGTGTTTATGGGATAAAAAAGTGGAAACAGTTGATGAGCTTGCTTCTTATGCTGATAAATTTGAACAATCCCAAGCACCTAGTAGGAATAAATCACAGGCAGAGGGGTTAAAGTTTGGTGGGAAGCAAGGTCCCCGTTTTATTCCTGGGGAAAAGGAGGCTGGATGGGAGGAAGGACTCTCACCTCCCAAAGTTCACTCCTCCAGTCCTCGGCCCAAATCACCTGTGAAAAGAGAGGAGCCCAGAATGTGCTATCATTGTAATTCCACTGAGCACCTGAGGAATAAATGTCCTCTGCTGAGTGGGAACAGGCAGCAGGCAACTCATGGAAATGCTGTTACCCAGAGCTCAGAGGCACATTAGGCAGTTGCCACTTATCACATAGGATTTGTAAAGGTTGCCACTGCACAGCCAGACAGTAAGCACATGA